CTCTCGAGGATATCAGCGGGATCTAGTCACTTGTAATCAGCTCACTCTTGAATCATCAGTGCAAGAGTATCGAATGAGGAATCAAGTGATCTTAGCAAATTCTTCACCACCTCATGGTCGGTGATGTCAGTGGCACAAAGTGCTTGAAGCTCATTTGAGATGTTAGTGAGGCGATCGAAGGTTTGCTGAACATTTTCGTTGTCGAGTCTTTTGAAGCGGTTGAAGAGATTGAAGAGATTGTGAATAACATCAACTCGGGAGTGACGTTGAGTGGAGACTCCTTCGTTGACCTTGGACAGCCTGTCCCAAATCAGCTTAGCAGTTTCAAAGCACTCACTCTGCCGTACTGTCCTTTGCTCACTTGGCCACATATGATATTCTTCGCTTGAGAATCGAGTTGCTTGAATCTCTTCACATCAGTAGCATTCACAGACGGAGTGACTGAGGGAACACCATTTTCCACAGCATACCAGAGATCGTTATCAATTGCCTCAAGATGCATGCGCATCTTGTTCTTCCAGTAGGGGTAGTCCGTTCCATCAAAGGTAGGACACCCAGCCGAGACCTTGATCATACCTGCAGTCGACATAACTAAAACTCCAGGTGGTTAAACCAAAATCACACAGAACAAGGGAGTACCTTGCTCTGATACCAATTGAAAGTGCGTTAAGTCGACTAGAGGGGGGTGAATAGGCGAATTTTACAAATCGTCACTGAGGAATTTCAGGGTGAGGAAATTCCTAAGTCACGAACTAGAAGCAGCGGAATAAGTACTCAGGTATAAGCATAACAGAGCAATAGCATAGTCATCATGATAAAATGAAAGACAAACACAGAGTACAGAAAGCGTAAACACAGGATAAGCAGGCTGAAGACAATGTGACTGAAGAAATTGGATTGAGGAAATAGATAAAGTCTTCAGTCAAAATCTTGAAACAGTAATAATCAGGTTCATCAACACATGAATGGAGAAATGAAAGGGTTGAAGAAATAGAACCAGTAGGCTTGGTGAAGATAATGATTTGGTAGACCAGTTCCAATTATTGTGACAGTTGTACATCTGGTTGGAGCGGCTCGGTATTTAAACTCGAGGACACACAGTCCCGGACACACAGTCCTCACCGTATTCTCCTTGAGCTAAGATCACACAGACCTCACCCAACACTCGTGGTAAATCTTCACAGGTGACTTCCAAACCTTCACATACTTGGTCACTCGGCGATCCACAATTCCTCTTGGATGCTTAGACCATGACGCCTAACCGTCTGGAGGATACACAGTCCTCAAAGGTAACAAGCATCGGTTCCACACAGGAACAATATTTTTAGTGATGCTCAATCACTTTGGGTTTGTAGGTTTGGGTTTGGGATTTGGGTTTTCCTCACTTGATGATTTTCGCTCAAAGTCCTCGAAGGATGGGATGCTCTCAATTGACAAGTGTCAGTTTCTTTCCGAGCAGCCAACCAGCTAGTGGTTATAGGGGGCAGCTATTTATAGCCTAGGGAGCAGCCCGACATGATAAGACATAAATGTCCTACAATGATATGACCGTTAGGTGGTAGGATATTTTGGACAGTTGGCACGTAGCACAGCAACGGTCGGATTTGAGGTTCGAATTCCTCGGGGCTATCATGTTCCTCACTGTGTAGGCAATCCGCACTGGCAAATTCCTAACTCCTCAGTCAGAACAAATTCCTCGGAGACTAGAAGAACTTCGTCTCTGTCACTGAAGAAATTGACTAAACTGATACGAGATTTCCAATGGCTTCACTCGAAAGGATTGAGTAGGTGTGGGATTTTGAGATGAGCATCACTTGGAAATCAGTTTCCTTAGTATTACCTCGACCCCCTTTAACAGTACGGTGTTTCCTATGACTCAAGAAAGAGAAAATGAAACTACGAAAACAAAAGTTTTCACGCTTTATAATCCTCGCATGAATATCTAAGTCTTCAAGGTCACACCAATTTCATCACTTTCAAAGTCTTCAGGAGAACCAAAGTCTTCAGGTGAAGACATTCATTTTTAGGGGTCGACTTTCACGGTAAATATCAAACTCCTCATTGACTTATAGAGCATGTGTACACTCACAAACATATTAGTCCCTTAACATATAAGTCTTTAATATACCAAAATCACTAAGGGGCACTAGATACACTTACAATAACAATGATGGGTCCTGAGGTGAACTCCCTTTGTCCATATTCTCATGATCTTCAAAATTCAGCTTCTCCAAGACATAGCGTCTGGCATGGGAGGGGATGCACTAGTCAAATTGTAAACGACATAAATTACGTGTTGAAGAAGCAAAAGTCATGCTTAATTACGAAAAAGACTTGTCGTTGTTGCGTACCGTACAAACATCAAAGGTCTCGTTGAGCTTAATACTGAAGCGCCGACCGTCTTCCAAGTGAGGCATGTCGCACAGACCTCGGTCGTCGCCGCAGTAGTCGCACTCAGGGATCCTATCGTTGCCGTAAGACATTTTCTATGTTCCTAAGTCAGAGATTAAACTTCTTAATTTCAATATATGTACTACAAAAACTAAAGTAGATCAATATTATTCATCACGGGATGACTATCGATCTGTCAGGATTCTTCCTCTCTGACATTTGCGACCGTCGGTGATGGAAGCTCCTACTTTGATTTGAAAGTGCATTAAACCAAAATGTCCATCACCGTGCTTCTATCGATCATTATTACACATCGAGCGCCTGAAATTTGCCGGAACAGAAATCAATCAACACTCCGGCAAAACATAGGCCACTCTGAGGTGTTCCCTACAAAATGCATCTGTGCATCCATTTTGTCAGCATTTTTCGAAATCAATAATGAAATAGAAGTGCATATAACAGGGTGTAGCCTCACATATACTTTCTTAAAAAAACTAGCTTCATCACATTATCACAGCTAATCATCTACTACTCTACTACATCTACGGAAACATCTACATCATCATTGAGATCAACGACATGGGGATTTGGCTGGTCTCACCTCGAGTTCGGAGGGGGTCGGTGATGGGGGGCGACGACGGGGATGATGTAGGGGCTCCTTCATTTTTGTAAAAACAAAATATAAATAAAAACATTATTATCCTGATATTAGGACTTAGTGAAACCCTATAAGCTATCAACTAAACATTATTATGCTGATTCAAAAGACATATATTTACTAAAAATTTGTATTACTAGTTCTTTTTACTAAAAAATTGTATTACCAAAAATACCCTAGTTCTAACCCTAACAGTTATCGATCCATTCATCTACCTATCCAAAACATTACTAAAAAAACCTAGTTTAATCCATCTGGCTATTGATCTATCTATCCAAGCATTACAAAAAAACCTAATTTCATCCACCCATTTATGCAATGCAGGAGGGAGGGAGGGAGGGATGGAGGTTGAGGGTCCGAGGGAG